CTAATAGTGCTACATCCATCCTGTGTAAGTGATGGCCCTGAGAAGGTGGGACACGAAAGGAGACGTTCCTAGGGTTGAACCAAAGGCCTTGGGGTTCTTGACCCTTGCAGGCTGCTTGCTGTAGGCTTTGCAGGAGTTGCTTCTGCCGGCCTACCTTGGTGTCCCGGCTCGGGATAACGCCAAAGCGGGTGTAGGGGGGGTCCTCCCTCAGAGCTGGCTGCCCTAGGAACGTCAGATACCCCTAGAGGAGTGTGGGTGCAGTTCAGCTGCTGGGCTTGTCCTCTTTCCGCAGCTGCCGACAGTTACTGACTCACGCCTCTCTCCCCTCCGTGTGTTGTTCCCTCTCCAGCTGGCTTCGGTGGCATCACTGGGCTGGGCAGCCTTGGCATGGGCTCTGCCAACTTCATGGAGCTCCAGCAGCAGATGCAGCGGCAGCTGATGTCCAACCCCGAGATGCTTTCTCAGATCATGGAGAATCCCTTGGTGCAGAACATGATGTCGAACCCCGACCTCATGAGGCAGATGATCATGGCCAATCCCCAGATGCAGCAGCTCATGGAGCGAAACCCAGAGATAAGCCACATGCTGAATAACCCGGAGCTCATGAGGCAGGTGAGTCAGCGCAGCAGGGCCTGTTTCAGGCATGACCAAGAGCATCTTTGTGGACCAGCTTCAGTGTCTGCTCTCCAAAAGGAGCTTGTGAATGCCGGATCGGTGATTTTCGAGATCTCTTCCTTCTTGCTGTAAGCTCCCCACACACAGATGGTGGTCTTGAGTTATGCGAATTACTCAACCCACATCCTTGCAACTCTTACCTCCCTTTCAGGGCTATTGCATCCATCGTGTGCTGGGGGCTAAAAAAGGATGCCGGGATCATCGAGGCGTGCTGCGGGCGAGGCTGCTGTGTTCTGATTCAGAAATGGGGCTAAAAGCAGTCCCAGAGAAATGCAAAAGCTTTTTGTTTCTCTCGATAGGTTAAGTAGAGACTACAGAGCTGTACAGTCGGTATTTTACTACCTGTATCAGCAGAGAGCACTAGCTGTAGGCTGGGATCCTAGAGGTCTCGGTTTTCTGTACAGTCCCAGAGCAGAGAGGACCCGCGCTCTAGAGGACTGGCTGTCTGGAAGACCGAAGGTTCATTGGAAGGGAAGCAGAAGGGATGAGTGAGAGCCCGAGTGTTAAATAGCTCTTGACAGGACTCTGCTGTTCCCCCAGGAAGGCTTGTCAGGACGTCTGTCTGCGTTGTCACTGAACGAGCCTAGCTTCCATCTGCTTCTCACTTATCTTCTTCGACTGTCGGCCATACCTGAAATTCAGGACTAAATTGTGAATGACCCATACTTAAGCAGCTCCTCAAATTGAGATCTGGATGTTCCTTGCGCGGGGGAGACCCACCGGAAGTTTGGAGGGGGTGAATTTGTCGGGTTTCTTGAAATGGGAAGGATCCGATCTCGTCCACCTTCTCGATTTTTGAACGCAGTCCGTCTGCTTTGAGTGGGAACCTCTGGGTGTGAAATGTTTGGATGTGCTGATACTGCTTAGAAACACAACAGTCTCATCCAGCTGAACTGAGGTTGACAAGGAAGAGAGCTGAGCAAGGGTGGGAGGAGCCAGGATCCCTGGGCTCTCTTTGCTTGGATAAATGATCTCTCAGCTCTCTGGCTGTGAAACGGGTTTAATTATACTCTTTCTTCTGGGAGCTGAGATTTAACTCTTTCTGTGCTTGGCTGGTGGATCAGTACAATGCCGCTGGGCTGCTCACCAGCCTGTCGATCCCCCGCCCTGGTCTTCCACGGAGCGCATGGGCCTGAGCTTTCTGTGTTTTCCTCTTTCTCCCAGACGATGGAATTGGCTCGTAACCCTGCCATGATGCAGGAGATGATGCGGAACCAGGACCGTGCTTTGAGTAACCTTGAGAGCATTCCAGGAGGATACAACGCCCTGCGTCGGATGTACACGGACATCCAGGAGCCCATGTTTAGTGCAGCCAGGGAGCAGGTAGTGGCTACGTTCCCGGGAGCGGGGCTGTGCATGTGCTGAGCAGGGGAAAGGGTTCTTTCCCTGACCCCTCGCTCCCCGAGCGGGCTGGGTGCCGGCCGGCGCTGAGGCGAAGGCCCTGGCGCTTCGTTAGCGCAGCCCTCTGCTCCCAGCCCGGCTTACTGTGTTAGCTCGAGCCCGACGCCTCTGGCTTGGAGCTGGCTGAGATCCAGCTGGCTCAAAGCGCACGAGGAGTGAGCACAGGTCTGTCTGCACAAGGCTCTGCAGACACACTCTGCTCTGGCATTACCTGCTGGTTTGTCCGGGGCCTGATTTGACGTGGGTGTTTTGAAGCCCTGCGTTTGGGAGGCAAATCTAGGGCTGTGGCTGCTTCTTGTGCCCGATTGTTTTCTGAGTGAGGTGTGTTGTGGATGACAAATTTCTCAGGAAGCAAATTACGGACACGCGTGTAGCAAATCCCGGACCTGGATAAATACAGTCGGCCGTTCCCTAGCTCATATGGTGGTGGGGTTAGACGGACATTCTCTGCTGGGGCTGACTGATTTCTGCTCTTTCTTTTTCCCCAGTTTGGCAACAATCCTTTCTCTTCCTTGACTGGCAATTCTGATAACTCGAGCTCTCAGCCTTTGCGGACGGAGAACAGAGAGCCGTTACCCAACCCCT